CACCCCTGCTCCTCCTTACTACCTCTCCCCGCGTGCCTTGCCGATCGTGGATTTGGGCGGGAGGTGGGGAGAAGGTGCGGCATGTGGAATGTGGATGCAGGCGGATCGGGCAGCGGCGAGCGTGAGGTGGGGAGGAGGTGCGGCGCGCAGCGTGTGTGGAGCCGTGAACAGGGCCAGTACACGGGCACAGGCCACACACGATGTCAGCACACAGATACAGCTCACGCGCGTCTCGGCCACTTTCTTACCTTTTTGCCCTTCTTGCCGTCATCTTCCATCTCTCACCTTCGGAGTCTCCTCCTCCTGCGGTCCTGGGTGGCGGATGACGAGCCAGTCTCCGGGATCCTGGAATAAAAGGAGGGAAAAGTGTCGGAAACAAGAACTTTCTGAACTGTCTGCAGCAACCAATCAGACGCTCTGATGTCCATATATGGTATTAAATGTAGTAGAAAGCCAGCCACCGGGCAACACAGACAGTTCATTGTGCAGGAGTTCCCATACATAACATGAATCGGCTTCACGTGCTGGAGAAATCCCGGGCGCCGGGGCGTCACAGTGCCCACCCTGGAAGTGTGTGAAGGCCGAACTGTCTGTGTTGTCCATAGCAACCTATCATTTAGTTTATACCAAAATAGACAGAACGGCGGGGGGCGGGGGCAAGAGCCGACATACACACACTGGGGATGACGAGCGGCGCAAACGATGATAAAAATGGGGGAGAGGTAATAATGTGACACCCAGCAGTGATAATGGGGGGCAGATATTACTGTGACAACCAGCATTGATCATAGGGGGGGCAGATATTACTGCGACACCCAATTAGGGGACAGATATTACTGTGACACCCAGCATTGATCATGGGGGGACAGAAATGACTTTGACACCCCACAGTGATAATAAGGGGACAGATATTACTGTGACAAACCCAGCAGTGATCATGGGGGGACAGATATTACTGTGACACCCAGCAGTGATCATGGGGGGTCAGATATTACTGTGACACCCAGCACTGATAATGGGGGGGACAGATATAGCTGTTACAGACAGAGAGAGCTGCCACAGGGGGACAGACATCAGAGTGACACTCACCCCAGTGTCAGGCGTTCCTTCTCTCTGTCAGGCCCGGCAGGCCCCCTCTGCTCTCAGCTGCCATGTTGGGTGTATCCTTCCCAGCATGCCCCGCGCCGGGCCCTCAGTGTGAGAGAAAGAGAGGCGGGGACTCCGTGAGCAGTGACGGGCGTGGTCGACGCCTGGGAAACCGGCGAGGGGCGGGTCAACTACGTTTGAAAGCTGGGGAGGGCGTGGCCTTTGGGTCACTGTACCTGGAGGACCGAAGTCACCAGAAGGAAAAGCCTTACTTCAGGTACAGCGACGCTCCATCTCCAAATACACTCTATGATATATCAGTGAGAGGGCGGAGTCTTCCGCACCGTTAACGCCGCCATCTTGGTGGAGGCAGCCAAGGAGGTGAGTAGATCTGTGTGTGTTGTTTGTGTGCATCTTTGTTATCGCTGCTCCCCTTCCCTTACAGGGGCTGTGTGGGGTGATTGCAGCGGGTGGAGGGGGAGGACTTCCAGGGTGGAAGGGACACTACAGAAGTCAGGCCAAGGGAGATTTGTAGGGGTCCCTGACTAAGAATAGACCCAGCATGTCCTCTCCTGTTATGACATCAGCATTGTAATAGGAATACATACTGGAGTTGTCTCTGATAATACAATCACAGCTTGCTAGAAAAAAAAATCACTTTTATGTAGTGGGTGTTACCGCCGTATCCGTGGCGATACTGGCTACCGTGCCGGTACTGAAGCCGACGCTGTAAAAAGGCGACGAGGTCCCAGCAGCCTTCCTGTGAACTGCGGCGCCTGATTACAGCACCGACCGCACATCTCCTCCTTCCTGAAACCACGCTGCCTGCAAGACGGACCGACCCTGCACAGCCCCCCTCCTGAGACCCAGCACAGCCCTCCTGAGACCCAGCACAGCCCTCCTGAGACCCAGCACATCTTCCTAGAACCACGCCGCCTGCAAGACTGACCGGGTCCCCTCCTGATACCCCGCACATCCCCCGAGACCCCGTGCAGCCCTCCTGAGAGCCTGCACATCTTCCCATAACCACGCCGCCTGCAAGACTGACCGGGTCCCCTCCTGATACCCAGCACATCTCCCCCCCGAGACCCCGCGCAGCCCTCCTGAGAGCCTGCACATCTTCCTAGAACCACGCCGCCTGCAAGACTGACCGGGTCCCCTCCTGATACCCAGCACATC